ACACACACCTTGCTTGCCTATGTGCCTACCTACCTGCCTGCCTACCTGCCAACCTACATGCATGCAGGCAGCCCCATGATAGGTAAAGTGAATGTTGACGCTCACGTGCCCCTATATCCAGCACGCTGCCTTATTGGCCTTATTGACAGTGACGGCAACGGCGGAACCACTTGCTGTTGCTCCATCAAAGCTGGACCGTGAAGCTCCTCGTTGTAGATGGCCAGGCGGGACAGCGCAAAAAGAGGAAATCCCAAATCCCTGTCATCCAGATTCTCGGATGTAGCTTCCTGGCAGCTGTGCAGCACTGCCGACTGCTGAAGACTTCCTCGTCAACTTGACCTTTCCCCCCTGTTTCCTCCCAACCTGTCCTTCCAGAAGACCTGCAGCCTGAGGCAGGCTGCTTCAGCTACCGCGACCACCCTTTGCAGGTGCGCATAAGGAGTCGTCGCATGAGCGAAGGGCAGGTCCTCGTGCGTGTCTCCAAGGCCCATGAGCACTCCTCAGCATGTTCTAGGGTTTAGGCTGTCTGTCGGCTGTCTGGGTTTACGCCCTTGCAACTTGGGCTCAGCCAGACGAGGTCTCTCGGTTCGCGTTCACACTACAGTTCAAATTCAGGTCAACACCGGAGAGAGGAGAGTTTGGGCCCGCTGTTCTGAGCGCTCCAGTATTGAAAGTGTGTGAAGAACTGTTACTACTGCTCCTTCGAGTTCCCTCATGCATTCTGCTACGATGACTACGACGACGACTACGACAGCACTACCACTACGACTATGCCTACTGAAAAGACCACTCTTACCACTCTTGCCGAGCCGAAGCTGCGTGAAAGACCCTTCTGCTCCAGTGAGGGGATGGCCTCGCGAACGGCCTCCAGCAAATCTGTGAAGGCAGGCTCGTCCTTCATAGGGCTCGCAGTTTCGGGCTTTTCGGCGCTATGCCAGGCGAGGTTCTTGATATTTAGGGCTTTCAATTTTGCAGGCTCTAGGGCCTCCAGGGCTTGCGGCGTGGCAGGTCTGCAAGTGTTTACGGGAACCCTGAAGTAAGACTTGCGGGTTTTATGTTTCTTCATAAGGGAACCGTAAGCTGCAGGGTGCTTATGAGTCAATGAGGCTTAATGTATTTTATGGTAACCCTCCACTAACATACTTTGGGCACCGTGCTTGGGTCGGAGAGTGTGAGGTTTCCACGGATTCCCTTACAACTTGAGTATTAGAATCCGCTAAAGGGGCCGACAGCCCGTGAAAATTCGACTGTTGTGTCGTACATCGCAAGGACGAGCCTGCGTGGCATGGTGTTTGGAGCTGGAGCCGGCGAGGTCGTTCGCCACTTTCGGAGAAACTACGGGCCATGCCCAAAGCTATGGCTATTGTCCCATACTCAAATTTCAATTTGAAGTCTTGCTTCAGTTCTTCGAACGTGCAGTCCTCGTCTTCAGACCACTGTTCAAGTACCTCTATATGGTCTATATGCGAGTATTGCAGCAGATCATTCTTGCACCCAGAATCAATACTCAAAGCCTGTTCAACGGTGTGGTGTTCAGTTTGTGTCTTCTTTCCTTTTTGTGGACCCGTTTACGTCTTCCGGGTTGACGTCCGTCTCCGATACCGGAGAAGCCAGGGGACCGGAGGCTCTCTCTGATACAAGTTCAATTCCAAGTTCCTGCAAGGTACCTACCCTACGCACTCAGGGTTGGGGGTTGGGTTTGGGACCTAAAGCGATCACACCAATGGGAGGAACAGACCCCGGAAGAGCGCTACCATAAACTCAATTTCCTATAGCAGCCCGATACATCCCAAGAGTCTACGTCATTGTAGCCTGGACAAACCTGAAAACCCCGTCCTAAATCTGGGCAAACAGTGCTCCCGAAGAATATTGTATAAACTCGAATCCCTGAACATTGAAAATCCTGCGCCATGACAAATCCTGAACCCCAAAACCTAAAACACTGCGCTTCACCAAACCTGAACCAGAAACCCTCTAACATCCGTTACAGTAGCAACCTCATCAAGCCTCAAGCCCCATAGCACCATCTGAAACCCGACGAGATCCCATAAAACCCTATAGCAAACCTCAGAGGAAGCGCCTCAAAAATATCAACAACAAACGTGTTGAAACCAAACCCTTCACAAGTGCCCTCAAAAACCTGACGGACGGAAGAGTCCTGAAGGCCGAGCTGCATGGCATCGTGGCGCTCCCAGCCGGCCTTGAGTGAGATACAGTTACTAGTGATATCACATTTTTGTGTTATTATTGTGACTATCATTACTACTATTGATACTGTTATTACTACTATGACTATTTCTATGACTACTAGTATTACCGCTGTTCCTGTTCTCACCGTTATTACGGATCCGGTTTCGATTACTCCTCCTCTCGCGTACTATTCCTACTTATGGCCAGCAGCACGACGACGACAACCACGGCGACGATTACTTCTACTTCTACTTCTACTTCTACTACTACTACTACTACTACTACTAGTAGCATGCTTCTTATTCATGTTGGCCTTCTGCTTGATTGCTAACATTATTAAAAACTTGAACGTTTTAAGTGCCATTGTATGCTATTGTTGCCCATGTTCATGCTATTATGCTGAACACGTCACGGAACCACAGGGGCGTGTAATTACCTCCCAAGCCAGAATCGCCGGACCAGGTAGCAACGCCGACAGTAGACAATCCAACAATCGGTCTGCGTTTGGCGGGAAAGATTTTGAGTATACTTCAGCTGCCGTGACTGAGTGTGTGTGTGTGTGTGTGTGCGTGCTTGCGTGCGTGTCTGTGTGTCTGTGTGTCTGTGTGTTTACGTGTCTGTGGGTGCGTGCGTGCGTGCGGGCCGGCGGGCGGGCGGGCACGCGGCCGTGCGTGCGCGCCCGTGCGCTCGCGCTCGTGCGTGCGTGCGCGTGTGCCGGGCTTTACGGTGTCAGGACAGGGTTACATGACGTCCTGCACCAGAAAGCTTCAATCATGCATTCCGTTATAATAGTGCCTACACTCAGCACGAGATTGTTGCGAGCTGTGCGCATTGGGCCTCATTCGGACACGAGGCCTTTACATGGGACCAATCTGCTGAAATCCTGCCCTCTCCCAAGGTCTCGAAGGAGAGCCCAGCTGAAGTCCCAAGCCCTGCAGGAGCCTTGCTCTCGCTGGTGCCGCGACCACGAGTTAGCCGCCCGAGGTGGTACAAGGCCGCCACCTGCTACAAGTACAGGGGGTTGTAGTGAAAAAACAGTCAAGGCTTCGCCAAGAAGTGCCCGCTTTTATCCGATTGAGCAGTTGGGCTTTCACCCTCGAGCTGAAATTACAGAAGCTGGCCTCTCATCCTGACCACATATAGTTTCAGGCTTCGACTCGCACGGTTGCAAAGCAGGTTACTCAGGCGCCAAGTCTCAACTCGGGCCTACTTTAAGGTTTCTGGCAGACCCGAGGTTCAATGAAGATCGCATGTTCTGAACTGCTCTCATTAAGTATGGCTTCCGCCCTCATCACAGAAACCCCAAAGTGACCCGCCGTGGCCCACAGTTGCTCACAGGGCTTGTCTGAGGTTTACGCTGAGGAGGCTGAGCGAGATGAACAGGACTTCGCCAAAGACGTGGCTCTCAAAGGCAAGACAGCACTAATAACTCCCCAAATCCAGAACTGAAGAACAGCCCAGGCCACATGGTCTTCGCCGGTCTGGCCACTGTCCTGGACAGGTTCGTTGCAAGGACGGTTGACATGCGTCTAAACTTGACTAGACTCACACATGTTCTGTATATCTGATGGTTCTAGGCCGGATATGCTGCAAAATGCACATGTTCGCAGTTGTCCGGGAACTCAAAACCCATCAGACAGGAAACTCCAAGCGGAGCCATATCCCTGAAACCATCGACACCCTGAAACCCGATGTCCTTCCAAAGCTGGAGGAGGTGCCAAGGTGACGACGATTTCTGAGCCTGTGCCCAGGAATATGGGTTTAGGGTTCCGGGTTTAGGATGTAATGAATTGTGGCTTCCTTCCAGAGCCGGTTTTGAGTTTTGGTTTCCCGGCGACCCTCTGTGTCCTTCCGATTTTTTTCGAGCGTTACGCGTACAATTCTGCATGGTTATGTAATGTTATCTAGGGGCTAAAGGGGAAAGTATTCCTGATTCTTGAATCATTGACATCTCCGGAGTATTTAGCCAACATCTCAGAGATGCCCAGCCCCTTCTTGCAGGGCCTTCGTCATGTGAGACTTGATCGTGCCCTTAAAGTCCGAAGCTGTCACCCAGCGGTATGGCTTCTGAGGTCATGGTCATACTGTACGAGAAAGGTAGCGTAGACAACCTTAGCCTTTCTGAACTGGAGCACTGTAGCACGGCAAATAGGAGTTCAAGCCGCACACATACGTACTCAAGTTCAGGCGCAGCACAGTGAAACAGCTGCGTGGATCTACAGCACAGTCAGAGCCACACATGTGCACCTAAACAGAATGCTTCAAGACCAATCATTGCACTAGCCTGGGTCACAGCGGGCTCAACTGCAACATCCTTCATCAAACCCAGATCCTAAGGGTGCCCGGCACAAGGCCCTAAGGCCTGCAGGAGTGCCGTTGATGCTCGACGGAGCCGTGGTCGCACAATCGCATTGTACGGGCGAGTGCGGCCGAGCCATGCAGGCCACATCACCAGCAAAAGCTAGGACGGTTTAGGCTCTCACAACTCGGACATGCCAAGCTAGGACGGTTTTTTTTCCCTCCCACTTAGCAAGGACGAGCCCAGCTAGGACGGTTTAGGGTTTAGGGTTTAGCAGCATGCTGGGTTGCGGGTTATTCTCCAGCTACAAGTAGGATGCGAACTTCGCTTGTGCGGTATCGCCCATGCTCCGGAGGGTCCGGCCTAATCAAGCGCTCATCTGCACGCAAGCGCCCCAGATACCCTTCGTAAGGTCGGCCGGATGGGTTCTCAAATCCATGCTCAATGTGGGTAGCGGGATCTTCGGATTATGGAGAAGCTGTAACCTTGCCTTATAGTCCCTCGGCCACGATTAACCGAGGTACGGGGCAACTTTGGCCCAGCACGCTTGGACCGAAACAGCGGCGATCGGAAGTTCCTTCTGCGCATAGCAACATGACCCGCCTCGGGCGAAGATTGCTCCATTGTAGACTTGAGGATCTCGAGGCGTTGGACAGGACAGTTTCCAAGTCAGAAAGCATAGGAGTTCAGGAAACCCCTGGCAGCCATCGGACGATATCACGGCCTTTTCCGCTCGCGAGCATGCTTCGATGGCTATGCCATAACCTCAGCCGATGGGATTTCCGAAGACAAAGCCGCAGCAAACGATTCCAACTATTAGACGCACTTTCGCGGATGACCGGCTTCGACGAGATGGAACAAGCAAGAGAGAAAACCGACAGGGTTGTACAAAGACAGCCGTGGAGGAGAGGACAGAAGACGAAGCCGGTAAAGCAGTGCAACATCCAAGCCATGTGGTAGTGTCATGTATTGTCAGACGCAGAAGCAGTAGACGAGGTGGTAGTGGTAGTCGTAGCAGTATAGCAGCAGTAGCAGCACCAGCAGCAGGAGGAGGAGTAGTAGTACTAGTACTAGTACTAGTACTAGTACTAGTACTAAGTAGTAATAATAGTTACAGACATATGTAGAACGTAGTAGTACGTAATAAAAGTCGTCGTAGTAGGAGCAGCAGCAGCAGCAGCAGGAGGAGGAGGAGGAGGAGTACTACTACTACTACTACTACTACTACTTGTCGTTGTTGTTGTGGTAGTAGTCGCGGTAGAGGAAGTCGTAGAAGTAAGTAGCAGAAGTAGCAGAAGCAGTAGAGGTAGAAGTAGTAGTAGTAGTCGTCGTCGTCGTGGTGGTCGTGGAAGTACTGGAGTGGCAGTAACAAAAGCTGTGGGAGTGGATTCAAACAAGCAGTCGCGCTGTCGCGAGTCGGAAGAGGGCTCCTAAGCGGCAGCTACGTAGTAGATTCAAGCAAGCAACACCATCCCGCTGCAACTGCTCTCTGCGGCCGCGGAGCTTACCTCATCGATCACCATTTGCGTCTTCTGCATGTCTTCGAGCATTGCCACGGCCATTTGCCAAAAGGATGCCTCATGTACAACCCATCGCAAAGCTCCGATATCCGCAGTTAGACAGCCCCCGAAGCTTCAAATGAGCTGGGCTTTCATGCAAAACGGCCTACGAAAATCAAAGCCAGCCTGGGCTACAGCGCTCATAGCTGCACTGACGGCGATACTGGAGACGGTGAGCCTGCACAATGGCACCAGATACATGCAATGACTCATCCAGGTCCGACGCAACTAGCAACACGACAACGACATGGACACGCAGCTGCAGCAGCTGGATATATGAACACACAAACTCCGACAACTAGCGAGACTATTGCCGACACACGGCACTCGCGTACTGCTGAGGCAACAGGCATGTTTCTCGGCTTCCTGCCAAAATGTATGTGGCATCAACCAAGCTAGCAACAACAACAACAACGACGACAACAACAAGAGCAGTAGCAGCAGTAACCATCAAACAACGGCGCCAAAAGCAGTAAAACACGACGATCATGATGTTGGTAAGTCTTCATTCTGCGTTTGAAGACCAGTCAAGCACAATCACTTCCAATGCTGTCACCAACAACCATACAACGACAACACCATTTCTTACTGTAGCGGCAGCTGCCACAATGACGACGACGACAACGACCATGACGAGAACAGGAGCGACAAGCAACACCAGCACCAACAAGAACATAACGAGATGCCTTGTCACCAAACATGGCCGGCAAATCCAGTAGCTATGGGGTCTTTCTCACTTAACTGGACTGCATGCCGGGAAAATTCTCTAAGCCTGAGCAAGATCTTGTGTTTGCTTTGGCCCGACACCCTTCGAGACAACATGACATCTCGGCCTGCTCAAGCGCATGTCGGTCAGCAGGCCAAGAGCGAGCTGCCATTGCGATGTTGTGGCACAGGAGGTAATGGTGGATATCCAACCTGTGCTTCTTGACACCGGAGGCATTCGAAGGCTTTGGAAGGTTGTACAGATGCGGAGTTCGATAAAGACCACAAAGACCAGAAAACCAGTAATTGGGGAAGGCCTCATGAATTGAAGGCTGACAAAGCGTCAACCGAAGGACCAGCACCTGACTGATGAAACCCCCAGTAATGTGCCAGCAATCGTGAAGAACAGTGGGTAGTAGCAGGTTGTCGCCTGGTACCTCCATCGGTTCTGATGCCTTATGTACTCGGCATCTCCAGGCTTAGGAACTTGTCTGCTTGTTGCTTTTGCGATATTATTGTAAACTTCTGGGTCGAATCCGGGCCGCAGCTTCAGGGTTGAAAGTGGAGCTCGCACGTACACTCAAATGCAACACATTAGCTGAGCTTCTAGCGATGGCAATAGCCATGTCATGAGCATCATCAAACCCTGCCGGTCTCATCCTAGGCAATCTCCCGACGCCCAGAAGCGCAAGGGACTCTTGCTTAAACATGCAGCCACCCTGTAAACTTTAAACGCACAAGTTGCTGATTCAAGAACTCTTTCAAGTAAAGATTCGCAACGAATCAGAAGCCTTCCCTTTGCACATTGGTGGAAGCCTGGACAAGAGAACGTGCAACGCCAAAGTCTGCCAGTAGGCACAGCTTGGAGTCGAGAACATGCTGGCGATGTAGGGTTAGCACGGATCGTCTTCGTTACAACAGGGGCCCCTTGCCCCAAAGAGACCCGTTTCACCTCATAATAAAGTTGAGGGACTGATCTCATCTGCTATGACGGACATGTCGCACATCTCGTGCAGCAAGAGCTGCACCGCCAGCTGCCAACATCCGGTCTCCGCATAACACCCCAGCCTGGTGGTTTCGGGGATACCAATTAAAACGAAGACAGCATTTCAGCAACAAGGGCCTTCGCAAGGGCGTCTGGGAATGATTGAAGATAAGGATTTCACATTCAAGGTCGACAAACAGCTCAATGCATGTCTGGGGTCTTTCCTGGACAGTTTATTGTTGACGGTCACGGCTAAGGGTTTCAGATGTCGGGCTGGCTACTTGCCTCGGCAGCTAGTTTTGGCTCCCGAGCAGCAACTTTTGTGGCCGGTGTCTTCCTGGGATGAAACCAAGTTGCATCAAGTTGCTGCACAACACGTCTGCCGTCATCCGGTGCCCGCTAAGAGCATGGAACCTGATTTCAGTACGGGCAGAAGACACAACAGATGCGCGAAGCAGTCGAGCCTGTTGCAGCCGTAATATCAAGTGCACAGGACCTGTAGGCTTCGTTTGATGAGTTTGATGCGTGTTGTCTGCCAGGCATTCTTGGAGGGTGTCAAGAACAAGAAAACAACAGCCTCATCGGGAGGTCCGGGACTAGCTCTGTTCGGTCAGAGACCTACCACATTGGTGAAGAAATCACGGTGAAGACGCTCAGGCACTCCATCACCGTTCAAGCCAGGAAGCATGTCCGTGGCTGTCTGCCAATGTCGGGCAGCGGAGCAAGCCGCAATGGATGTGCTCCAACCCACGAGGTCAGTACGGATACCCAGCGTTGTACCATGGCCTTGGGCACGGCTTCAACATGACCAGCTAACGTCTCCGATGACAACAGCCTTCGAACCATGCCAAAGATCTATGGCTCTCACCCGTGACCCTGCTACATACACACCTGATGGACCCACCTACCTGCCGACCTGCCTGCCTACCTACCTACCTACCTGCCTGCCTACCTACCTACCTACCTACCTGCGTACCGTATGTATGCACGTACGCACATCCGCACGCATGTAATTAAATACATGCACACAAGACGCACGCACAGACAATCAAACACACACACACACACACACGCACACGCACACACACACACACACGAACAAACAAACAAACATACATACATACGTCCATACATACATACCCGCGACCAAACATGCACCCATATACGTGCGTGAGCACGCACACGAACAAACATGCACATACACACGCAAACACACATACACCCATACACGGGTACATAGATACATACATACACAGATTCATAGATACATAGATACACAGATACGTACAAACACACATACACACATACATACATACATACATACATACATACATACGTACATACATACGTCATACATACATACATACATACATACATGCATTCCACTACATTGCGTTGCATTACTTTACATTACGTTACATTGCATTAAATTGCATTACTTACAGACATTACCAACATTACCATGCATACATACATACATACATACATACATCCATCATGCATGCATATATATATATACACATAAATATTTTGCAGTTTTATAGAGCACTGTACAGGAAATAATATGATATAACACAATACAATATAGTATAGCATAATATACTGTACTATACTATACTATATCATGCCATCGATCCATCCATCGATCCATCCATCCATCCATCCATGCACCCACCCACCCACCCATCCACCCATCCACCCATCCACCCACCCACCTACCCACCCATCCATCCATCATCCATCCATCATCCATCTGCAACGTACATACATACATAATTACATAAATACATACCTGCGAACCTACTTACATACATACATTTTTAGCATGCATGCATGCATACATGCATATGTCATTGGCATGCATGCATGCATACATGCACACATACATACATACATACATACATAAATGCATATGCACGCGTGTATAAATGAACAAACAACAAGCAAATACATGTACACACATGACTAGCACTTGTGCTCGATACATATACTCAATATGTACGTATATACATATATACATATATATATATGCATATATGTATATATGTATGTAAACATATACATAGATATATATATATGTATATACATACATACATACATACATACATACATACACATATACATATACATATACATATACATATACATATATGCATACATACACACATATGACATACATACAAACATATGACATACATAAACACATACGTAAGTAGGTAGACAAATACACATATTCGCAGCCAAACAATCACGCATAATTAGCGACTCACATTTGTGCACCTACGTTCCGCGCAGTTCAGGAAGTGTGGGTTTCACGGCAACACAAAAACCTGCAGATTCGTGTGCGTGTACATCGGCGTGTGCACACACCTGTGCGTATGTAGACGTATCTATGGGCCATGCAGGCAAACCACATACAATGAGGATCCAGGATCCCTTACCTCTTTGTGATCCCATGTCGCAAAGGAAACAAGCAACCTCAGCCCAGTCACCGAGGCGGCTCAGCGCGTGATGCCAGCGCCCAGGGGAGGTCGGAGCAGCCACACCCGTGTTGACACTGACGATGTTTTGCTGAAGCCTCTCCGCGACATGGAAGCTTCAGACCATGAGACAGTGGCGCCAGTTTATGGTGTCTACTTGTAGCTGAACCATGAATGCTTAGAACTCAGGACCTTTTTAAGTGTACAAAGGCCTATAGGTGCAGGGGGGCTTGTAGAGGCGGCCCTTGAAGGGCAGCGGAAACCACCCAAAACGCCTGAGAGGCCCTGATTCGGGATCCTTTGATGCGCCTTGTGGTACGACGTAGTTTGCTACAACAAGAAACACAACAGGACACAAGCCTTCAACATATCTCATCACAAGCCTATGCCTGCCTTTATTACTTTATCCAGGGTAAACGCCAACAGGCCCCTGACACACGAAGTGTTGATCTCAAGGCACATACCTTCCTCCAAACTCTCCCCGTGCTTAATCATAGCCCTCCTACTGCAACAGGCCTGCAATGCACCATGGCCGCCAGCATCGCCAAAGTCCATGACCAAAGCTCTGCAGTTGCAGCCGCAGCGGTGTGGAAGCTCGTCCTTTTGGTGGCGCTAGAAACCCTATAATGCTATAATTCGGGTTCAGCTACAGATAAGCTCCGGAGGGTTTCACAGCCGGACGGGCAAGGCTGCTGGTGGTTTAGGGTTTCGAGGGCAACTCCAGCGTTTGGACCCTCCCAACTGGGCAGCCGGTCGGCGGTTGCGGATTCTGACTAGTAGTTAGGGAGCCTGGGCTCCTTATAAGTCTGTTTCAGCTCAGGGGCTATAGGGCCTGGAATACACGTGTTTCTACATGCAAGGGTTCGACAGCTTCGTTCCGAGCTTTGCAGGGCTGGGGTTGAATTGGTACCTGGGAGTTTGAGGGAGGGGAGCTACGATAATGTGAAGCTGGCAAAGACAATTCTGTCTGCTGA